CGACTGGGTGTGTGCTCAGCCTGCTGGGATGTTTTGGTGCTGTTTGCAGGGGATGGTGACCATCCTGACAGGTGGAGGTTGGCAGGATGGGGCGCTCAGACAGCATTCCCTGGAGCCACCACACTGCTCATGACATGGGTATTTCATGGGAGGAGGTGTCAGGCCCAGCAGCTGCTGCTCTGCTCTGTTCCCTACCTTCAGAGCTGGTGCCCCACAGCTCTGAGGCAGAGGTGCCAGTTTGCTGGGGAGGCTCTTCCTCTCCCTGTGAGCAGTGAGGGGTTGGCTCCCTTCAGTGCCCTGCTCCTTCCCGAGTCAGTTTGACAGGCAGAAATGTGAAGTGGGATAAAATGATGACAGCCGGGTTGTACTTTGGAAGCGGAAAGGAAAGAGTTGGATCCATTTGCAGCTTCGAGTGATGGAACTTGAAATGCAACCAATAGCAGTTACTTTACCAGTGTCAGAGTTGAATTAGACAGGATGGTTTGATGGGTATAGTTCAGCTGATTTCTGGATATTTTAATCCAGGTGATTTCAGCAAGGCTGACAGTTTCGTGATTGATGATACTGAAGTAATTCTACAACCTTCAGCAAAGTAGCTCAAGATTTATTTTGAGAATGCGGTTGTGTTAATTCCTTTTTTTCTGACTTGACAGGCAAAAATTCTGTGTTGTTGTGACCTTCATGTGAAATGGGATGTCCTTTGAAATAGCCAGGAAAAGATTCTTTCTCAGGTGCACGTGGAATACTTGTTACCTTCAACAGTAGCTATGTGTATGTATGAAACAATATATGAGTGATGTACTGGGCATCAGTAAAAGAGGGAGCAGGGTTCTGAACTCTGCTGTTATTCTTAGGTTGGTGCATGGTTTGGTGTAGCTCTTACTTGAAATAACAATGAACAGCTTCTGGAGGTTGTTATAACCAAAGATGTTTCTTTTGATTTGATAATGCCACTGTAATTGTTTCCAAACTTAGGAGAAACCTGACATTCTAGATCAGCTGGTGACCAAATGGCTAGAGCATTTGATGTTCCTGGCAGGTGCTGATAGAGGAACTCTATGTCTCACCCACCAAATGTGGGGTTTTGCCTTTTTTTTTTTTTCTTTCTGTTTTCTGTTTCTGAAATGTAGATTTTTTATTTTTCTGTAAATATATAGATAGATTAAAAGCGTATGGGTGGTTTTGTCCATTTTGTGCAGTGTGGGAGGGTTTTTTTTCTTTGTGGTGGTTTTTTGTTTGTTTGACAGAGTCTTATGGTAGGTAAGAGCTACTTTTTGAGTGGCTGACATTTTTTGCTTGAGAAGATAAATTTAGATAAATAATTTACTTTTAGTTTCAATTAGCTTTAGTTTCTTTAAATTCCAAAATTCTCTCCATAAATATGGCATAGCAGTGGCATTAGTTTTTTTAATTAAATGGAAAAAAACTTCTTTCTAAATTTTCTATTGATAAGAATTAGTTTCTTAAATGGTTTTGGAAGAATAAAATAATTTCAGATATTTTTCAGATATAAAAATATAATTTCAGATATAATTCAACTAAATTCAGTTTAAAATGAAAACCAGGTGGTCTGGCCTTTTATTCTTGCTCCCTACAGGTAGGTAAATGCAGTGATCCTGGAAAAACAGTGTTTAGCCAAAGTCGACTACTATAAACAAGCTTTTGCTTATTGCTCAGTATCATTAGTGTTTATTAACCCAACTCATTCCACTAAGATCCAAACTCCTATTTTTCTTCTTAATATTTCTATTTTTAATATGAAAATATATTTTAAAACAAAATACGCTTAAAATACTCTGGAATAAATTCAGTTCAGTATAGACATTTCTGATACTCTTGACAAGACTTTTTTTTTTTACCCTAGGCAGGAAAGTTCAGAGTAGTTGTGTCATGTTGAGTGTTTTGTGCAAGCTATAAAAATCTGTGGACTTGATGTAAGCTGACATTGTCCGTAATACAGCTTTATTCACTTCTCCTTCTGCTGTGATGAGTCTCCACCAAATCCTCCAATTAGTGCAAATTTACAAAATTATAGACAGATGGAAAATTAATATTTATAGAAAAATGCCCACGGTTTTGATAGCTTGGAACACTTGCAGCTACAGATGATACGTTAGCAGTTGAGATTTAGAGAAAGCAGCCTGTTCAGGAAAACATGAAAGCTTGTGTACTTTCTGAAGCAGTAGGTCACCTAGAGATGGCCATAAATTTCAGAGTTAGTTTTCTGTGAATTGAAACCATCTGTGGTAAACTGTTTAAAATGAATTTGTTTGTATAGGTAAAAAGTAGGCAAATAGATAAATATACAGAAACTACTTCTTCAAATGGTCACCAAAATCTAGTAGAAGTTTGCAAGATTCATCCCTCATCTCACAATTAATTAGAATTTTGTAAATGCCACCACCTTGACAGACTTGAATAGTGCACAATTCAAAAAAGTTTTAATGAGAGAGAGAAGATACACGTGTCACTCAGTGGCCCTGAAATACTGCTGGTCTGATGGTTAGGGGTAGTGGTATGGTTTCATTAATATTGGTCTAAGTCCAGAGTAATTTTCTAACCTCAGCAGTGTGGTTACTTTAAAAACATAATAATAACAGTAATTTTTCTGACAATTCACACATTTCAATCTACTAATCTTAGAATGACATCTTAGAAGGGATCAGCATTTAATGACAAAGGAAAGAGCTGAACTGGAGCTGGTTTTTTGCTGTCCCCGTATACAGCTAAACTAGCAACATAGTGCTCTATGGAAGTCTGGTTTTCTGGACAGATTTCATTCCTTCCTAAAATTCATAGCATGAAGTGACCTTCAGCATTTTCTCTTAGGGACTTTAATGTGTTTTTCTGGTGTGTAGCCAAAATTTTTAATTTCCAAGTGCTGTTCCTTTCTCAAAAGCAAACCTGGTGGTAGACTTGTTTGTGTGTGTGCGCACCTATAGCACAGTTGAATTTTAATAAAATAAAGTATCACCACCCTGTTTAGGAGAATATTATTGCTATATGCACAATGGCATGTCATTACGTGGAGAAGAACATTCTAAGTTTCTCCTGCACATCCATGTTCATGTTGAGTCCAAATTGCTCTACATCTGTGTTGTGAGCCCAGGTACAGCCCAGGAAATCTCCACAGAGGGCCTCTGTAGGACTGTGTGCATGCAGGAGGACTCCTAAGTTTTGGTGTTGTGGGGGAGAAAAAAGGAGATGCAATATCAAAACTTACTGTGTCTGTAACATGCTGTTCCCTGTGTAAGAAGCTTCTCTAGATATCCCTTGGAGGAGGAAGTTGCAAGATTCTCCCATACTTAAATGACATTTTTGCTATTTTTCATGGTTCCAAAGTATTCGTTCTACTGATTCTGAATACCCCATGGCATTCTTGCCTTGTATGATAAACTTCTGTTGCATCATGCCACTACTGTAATTATTGGAACACACAAGGATTTTATTCAAATTTATAAAGCTCTGATAGGAGTAAACCTCTCTACATTCAAGACAAGAGCTACTTTTCAAGCTATATTCTTCCTCCTCCTTTATACCCTCCCTTCTCCTTTCTCTTCTCTTCTTCCCTCTTCCTTTACAAAGCAGTAGTATTTTATTCACCTGGAGAACTAATGCAGTTTCATATGTGTCTTGAAATTGTTTCACTAATTCAGCATCTTAGTCTTTTTAGCCAGATTGCTGCAAATATATAATGCAAAGCTATTTAAAAGCTATGGCATGATGCTTCAGATGATTTGTAAAGTTTGAAATAGCAGGCCATTTGCACAAAGCCACCTGTGCATCTCGTATCTATTACAAACGGTGAGATACAGCCACAGCAGAGGTACTTGTGCTCCTGCACGCGTCGCTGCTTCTGGAAATTCCACCCGTGCGCTCGCCTCTCTTCTGCAGCTCTCAGAGTCCCACCTGTGGTTCTCTTTTCAGAGCAGCCAAGTTTCAGGACTTGTGTCACCCCCACAGCTGCTGCTTCTCCTCCAAGCTGTACATGGAGAAGTGCAAGTGTGCTTTCCTGGCACTTTCAGGAACAGTATGTCAAGGTTACCAAGAAGAGGGGGGAAACTATCTGCAGTCTGACATCTGAGATCTGCAGGTTTTGTAAAAAGATACTGAAGGCAGAAATGAGGGACAAAAAGGTTTTTTCCCTTTTTTTTTCCTCAGAGGTGACATCAGAAGCTGGTTTTAATATGTAAATATTTGTGGACAAAGGACAATGAGAAGTAAAGATTTCTCAGCAAAAAGCATACCACGACTAAGCCATTGTGTTGGCTGACAAGTAAAAAAATACAAACTGGAGGCAAAGCACTGTACACTGGGTCTGGCAACATGTACATTGTTGTTAAATGTTTGGGGGATGGCAAGCCAGGCGATGATTTCTTCATCTCTTGCATGTTTTCAGATAGAGGCTGAAAGCAAATTCCAGAGGATTTACTCTTACAAATAAATACTAATCTTTTGACTTAATGCAGAAATAATTTAAAAAACTTAATGTCCCAAGATATATTTGGTTTAAAATGACTGAAGGAACAGTGTAGTAATTCTGAGGAATACAAAGATGTTTTTGAGAGAAGAAAAGGAACAATTTCTTCAATGGGGCTTATGGTGGAAAGCATGAGATTTGATGGGCTTCAGTGCAGCAAGTTGGACATGAAGAAAAATGTTCCACTTGTCAGAACAGTGAAATATTGAGGGGGAGAAAAAGTCTGTGGAAGTGGTAATAAAAATTTAGATGCAGGTAACTTTTTCCTTGAAAAAGAGGGATGAACTGGATGACTTCTAAAGTTTCTCCCAGCCTTTTTTCAGGGAGTATGTAGTGGGTACAATAGCTGTTAAGTTTATCAGAAACTTCCTAAATCTTATTTGGGTTATCTTTTACCTCTGCTGAGAGAAACTCTCCGAACTTCGTGTAGTAAGTCAGTCTAAAGCCCTTACATCCAAACAAATTATATTCTACATGTAATTTCAAGGGGAAAAGTTACTATCCACCATCTTCTTTTTAGGTCCTCCAGGGAAAAGAGGTAAGCGGGGAAGAAGAGGAGAGACTGGTAAGTTTTTCATTTCATAAGATCTATTGTCATTTGATGTTTTTGTGAGGATGTGTACCCAGCATGCCTTGATTTTTAGTTGTATGGCATGTGTGCTCTGAAAAAGAAATCTGAAACTTATTTGGTAAAATGCTGATACCCTTGGCATGTATCTGGTGGCCTTCCAGATATTTCTCTAGTCTTGGGCACCCTTAATTTGTAGGCACACTTCATAATGCTTGATGCGGTGCCTTTGGTAACAGGTCTGTAACTGTCAAACCCTTCAGGGGTGTTCTCACACATGCACAAGTTTGAAAAACTCCACGTAAGTCAGTAGTTGGAATACTGTGTCAGTGTTACATCAGGCCCCTTTGGTTGGAGGAGAACAATTTTATAAGGAAATTACAAAGGAAATAAAATTCCTTGTGTCGAGAATGTTGATAATCAGGGACATAATGTGCTAAGTAGGCTACTCTGTATGAGAGGAGTTGTTTTATAGAAATGAGCAGTTAAGTTCTAACAGAAACAAGAAAAACATTTGTTGGTTTGTTACCCTATACCAGGGTGGTTGCTGTTGATAGAAACCTGCTGGTGGTGTGTAGCTTGAAATTTCATTTGAGGCAAAGTTATGAGATGCTGTGCACCTCTTGCTGTTGACATTCACAGGAATTGAATCAATTACCTTGCGGGATTGAGTTTTCATCAAGGTGAACTTTCTGGAGGCAATGCAGTAGAAAATGAGCATTTCTATGCTACTTGGCTGTCTTGTCTAATCTGCCAGCTAGGAAAGTCTTCCAATCAACTTGATCTCTGTAAATCTTCTGTAGCCTTTCTTATCTATGTAAATGATAATTTATCTGACTCTTAAAAACTATTTCCTTATCTTCCTGAATCACAGAACTAAAACCAAGCCCTGCCAAAAGTTGATACAAATCACCTTTGTGTTTACATTCAGTGCTGTCTTGGTATCTACTTCAGAGAAAGAGGCTATGATACAGAGGGAAATTCTGTGGTTGAAGATTGAGTTACAAATGATCCTAGAAATTACTTTGTGGGATGCTCATTGATTCATTTTAAATCTCAAATAAACACGTGGTAAACTATTAATAAATGAAACTGATCTCTCATTTAAAAACAGACCTGCACCTTAAAATGCTGTTTAAGAATGTTTGCCAGAATAAAGACATTACCTTAGTTGCTGGACAATAAAAGTTGCATTGTTAAAACCAAAAGGCTGTCAATATTAAAAGCAATCTCAAAGTACAGCTGCTGCTTTTTATACTCCTTTTGCACTTCACTTTATTCAGAAATTAAGGAGAGGCATAAAAGCTTAATGAAATGCCATTGATTTGGGAGCTGCAGCTGCTCACCTTAATAAGACTGAAATAATAGATTTGATTTGTGGCCCCTTGATAATGTTTCCAAGAACTGCTACACAAAAGTCTTTGAGGTCTAAATAATTGAAAAAATGTGCAAATATCACTTCACAAAGTGTGACATTTTAATGAGGAGCATTTTATATGTATGCCTTGAGAGAGGAAGGTGATGAAAATAAAGTTCAGCACTATCAGGTGGCCACTGAAACCTCCCCTCACAGGCAAAGTTGGAAGTCTGGAAGATGCTGGTACACGTATTCTTGACAAGATGCCCAGGTTAAATGCCAAGGGTACTTTGTGCAATTCTGCAGCCAAGCTCTGATCCAGTGCTCACTGTGTGGTTAACTGAAACTGGTGATGTGGTTACACATGCTTTATGTGGAGCCTGACAAATGAATTGTATCCATGGCTGGTATTTTTGGACTGGCATGAAATTGCATGGAAATAAATGGAAAAGCAACCTGCATAAGATTGCATGACTGTAATTGAAGATTTGTTAAGGTAAGTGCATGCAGTTAGGAGTAGTCATATTTATGAGTTTCAGAGCACTACCAAAGCACAAGACTACTTAAGTGGGAAAATGTGTGCCCTGTATTGCCAGTGCTGCTCGCTGACAATCCCAAGGCTTTGTGCTTGACTGTGTATGTCTTTCTGCAGTAACTTCATAAGCTTACGTGTTCTTTTTTCTCTTTTTTTACCCTTTTTCCCCCTCTCCCCCACTCCACAGGACCTCCTGTAAGTACAGTGATACATTGTTGGTTCTTCCAGAATCAGGGAGAAATCTGTTAGATCCTGTTAAGTTATCACCGTGATAAAATGATCATGTATACTCAAGAGGGAATTTTGATATTTATACATACACAGTATCTTGGAGCTGAATAATTTATTCAGAAAGTTTGTTAAGAAAAGAGTTTCTAAACCAATACAGCTTTATGTTCAGCACTCCAGATTCCCATTTGGATTCACAACTCCATGTAAGTATGTTATGTTCATTTTGCCAGTGACTTCAAAACAGATATTTTACTGGAGTATAAAAGTGTGTGAGTATCTTAAGCCCAGACCTGGCCACTTTTGCTGGGTAGTAACTTCCTCTGCATTTATCGCATAGTCATGGGGTACAAGCTCCCTGTTCTTTGGAGGCATGGAAGCTGTTCAGCTCATTTCACTGTAATTACTAGTGAAGCAAATAAGTGCTTGTGTAAAATTATTATTAAATAGTGCTATTCCATTTAGTAAGTTGATTGAATCTTATGCCAATTCCTCTTGTGAGAAAATGTTTTCTTTCTTCTGAGGTTTTGAGCTTGTTTTGTTTTTTACATGTCTTTTGCTTGCTCTTTTGTATATTTGCAGAGTAGATCAAAAGGTCTGACTTGAAGGACAGGACTAAGCACATATGTCTCAAACCTTTGTATCTGTCATGCCATCCATGTAAATCATACATTCCTACAGTGTAGGAATGTGACTGTTAGAATAGTATTTCTTTTACAGTTTGAAGATTTCTAATTTTTTTTTCTTTAATAGATTTAATATTTCCACAGTATTTTCAAGACCCTATCATCTGTCTATTCTCTGCTGCATGCATGTTTAAGAATATTTAATTAATATGTTGAATTCCTGCTGTGACTTCAAAAGTTTTACTGTAAACTGCATATATTGAGTTGTGATATTACTTATTCTTGTAAGACTTTGACCGTGTGCTCAGGAATTCATAGTGACAAATTCATTTAACAAGCCATCAATGAAAAGCCAGGCTTAATGCATAAAAGTGCTGTTTATTTGAAAGAAACACTGTTTTCCCTGATTTCTTTTGCAGTCCTCCTGTGAAACAGAAAGAGCAAACATAAATCATGATACAAGCTATTTTCTTGTACCAAGGCAAGGTGGCAAGTGTTCACTATATGCCTCATTTAGAATGTCTCTGACTTTAGCTCCCCACTGTTTCAGTATAGGTGCATTAAAAAACCCAAACAAACAAACAATCCCCCAAAAAATAAGTCATAATCTTGGCAATATTAGCACAAACCTGAAATGGATTCCAAAATTGAATAATTTTAAGAAGTAGTCAACTTCAAATTCCAAGTTTCATACTTGGAACCTACAAAACTTTATCTTGCTGACAGCAATGGTTTAGGTTGTTACAAGGCATAAAAAAGTGTAGTTTCTCTTCCTAATTAATTTCTGTGTTTGCACAGACACTGTCTAGGGGCAGCTGTTGTGAACTTAAGTATTGTTTTCACCTGGGAGACTGTGGTAATAGTTTTCATTTAAAATAGCAAATATTTATATATCCTGCATGAAAGTGGAGAATTAGAGAATTAGATGTATGTTGTACTTTAAAAGGCTGTCACAATGCTCTGTTTATTTTCCTTGTACATGAGTGTACTGAGTGACACATGTAGAACAGTCAGAGGCTGGGGTTTTTTAAAATTTTTATGGTCTTAAACAGCAATCTCTGATTTCTTCTTTGCCATCTATGTTCTAGTGGAATCTAATACTTTACTGCCTAAGCACAAAACCTTTTTTTTTATTAACTACATATACTGCCCGTCAGTTACATGGATAATTCTCTTCATAAAAAAACCCCAGAATTTCACTGGGCATTAGAAGTATCCAGAAGCTTTTTAATGAGAGGGTTTATATAAGTTGAAACACATAATTTCCATTGCCTAGGCCTCGTTTCTTCACTGTGTAGTACCCATCTCATATTTCTTGGTTTGAAATATCATCACGTGCAAAATAGTCAAGCAATACACAAATTATAATTACCTGGTAATGTACTCTGTATGTTTGTTGTGTCATATGTCATGACTGTGTTGTTAATGTGTCATACCATTTCATCTCATTCAACCAGGGTCCACCAGGGCGAAATGGCTATCCGGTAACTCATCATGTATTTATGATAGCAATTTATGATTACTCTGAAATCCTCTTGGTATATTTTGGTAGGACCCTTTTTTTTTCCTGGTTTCTCAGATGCCTAGATAATGCAGGATTTTCCTTTAAAAACAAAACAAAATAAAAATCCTGTGACAAGTTTCTGAAAAGAACCAGACTATTTACAATGCATAAATGAGATGCACTGATTGTTTGATGTACATATTTTGTGTTGTTTCTTCATTGTTGCATACAAAATTCATAATTAATTAATTAAAAAACTTCCTAGGATACTGCATCTCAGTTTCCCATATTGGAAAGTTGTAGTGTTGCCACCTGGAATCTCTGAGTCCTTATGGAACCTCTGAGTCCTTTCTTCTAATTCTCTCCTGTTTCACTTGACTGCGTTGTTTAGTGCATTTTGAGCAAAGTAGTGTTATGACCGAGGTCCTAGCAATTGGCTGCAGTGACTATCACAGAGTAATTTTTGATAATGGATACGGTTCATTTTTCTGTCAGTTTCATTCATATCTTTAGGATTTATTGCCTTAAAAAATATGTATGAAATAATGCATCTTTCTAAAATCTACTAATAATACATTTCTTCTTAGTAGTTAGGCAAACTGTCTGCAGTGTCCCATTCATTGAAAGAATATGCTTTTATATGCCTGCTGTCACATGGGTATTAGAAACCAAGTGAGTAAATGTGATAATATATGTGCACAACATAGTGACTGTTGAAGTATAGTAATAGTTATTTATAGCACTTGATAGTGTAGCTTAAAGGGCCCCCTCAGATTGATTTGCCTGTGTTTTTCAGACAAAAGATACCTAATTTTTCAGTGCATTTAAAAAATGTTTCCATTGGTAAAATATAAATGGTATGCCTTGAGCATGTGCAATTAGAGGAGAATTTTGTAGAACTACAGACTCTCAAAATGGTTTGGGTGAGAAAGGAAATTATTGGATCATTTAGTTCCAATCACTCTGCCATGGACAGGGACACCTTCCACTAGATCTGGTTGCTCAAATCCATCCAGCCTGGCCTTGAACACTTTGAGGGATTGAGAACACTTCTAGGGATGAGTCATCCATAACTTTTCTGGTCAATCTGTTCCAGTATTTCACTATTCTCATAACTGAAACATTCTTTCTTATATCCAATATAAACTTTCAGTTAAAGGTCATTACCCCTTGTCCTGTCACTACAGACCTTGGTAAAAAAAAAGTATATTTCTCCACACTTTTTTTCAGGGTCCCTTTCAGTATTGAAAGGATGCAGTAAAGTCTCCTTAGAGCCTTTTCTGAACAACTCCAACGTTCTCAGCCTGTCTACATAGAAGAGCTGCTCCATCCTTTTCATCATCTCTGTGATCCTCTGGACTTGCTCCAACAGGTCCATGTGTTTCTGACACTGTAGGCCCCACAGGTGGACACAGTAGTCCAGATGGGTTCTCAGGAGAGTGAAGCAGAGCGGGAGAATCACCTCCCTTGTTCATTTGATGCACCCTATTTCAATGCTTTTACCTGGGCAGGCTCTGGAATTCCAGAGTGGTGTCATCAAGGGATCATCATCCAGTGTCCATCTTTACAATTACAAGTAGTTGGAAGTCAGCTGGTGAGGTACTGATCATCAGGATCAAGAAACCTGCTTGTATATGTTAAAACCATTATCAGGTTTCCAAGTTCACATTCCGTTTTCTCTTGGGGTGATTGATCTGTGTAGGTGAGTAGAAGTTTGTTTACTTGAAGAAATTTGTTGTGGATCTGAAAGCAATGAAGGTATTTCAGAGCCATGGTATTGAAGTTGCTGTGTCTAATGGTGGTGTTGTGGGCAAACTTAGTCTGAATGCATTTCTCCTCATGTGTGGTGTGAGCTGTCAGTAGTGCATAGCACTTGATTGAGTGCTGCTTCTTCCTGCTTGAAAATGACTGGGTATAAAGTTTGGCTTTGCTTTCTGAAAATTGCCATGTGGCTGAATGTTTCAATCTTTTAAGTCACAGTCATACCCTCCTGCTTTGAATGGGAAATATGTAACTACAAATGCCATGTACTTTAAAAGTAATTTTACAGCCCTGTAGAGGTCTATTAGAAGGCTATTAGTGTTCTAAGTTATTTCTCCAGTGTCTTATTAGCTCCTGTAGAAGCCTTTTTGCTTAAATCTGTATTGGATTTTATGGGATAGTCTGTGAGGATAGTGAATTATATCTGCCACATGTAACCTAAACCTGGCGTAGCTCTCTCACAAAAGCAAGTGGCTGTTTTCTCCAAGGCTTAAGTTTTCTTTGAATGTGTTCATTCTCATTTTGCAAGATACTTCAATAGTAATTATAACAGTGAAAGGATTTACAGTCAGAAATTTAAGTTCCCAGGAAGATACAGCATCAAAAATCAATAAAATAAGGGGTTTACTGCTAATGAGTAGCACAGTTATTAAGGGGTTTATAAAACCATGATTAGCTGGTTATTATTTAAGGCACCAGTAATAGTAAAGAAGTGTACACTGGTACAACTCCTTTTTTACCTCATAACAAGCTATCAGTGACCAAATTCAGAATTGTGACTCTTTCAGCTTGAGTTTAAAATTAAGACTATCACATATACTCAAATAAAAGAGGGAAAGCAGTGCACAAGCATGGAGAAATGAGATGACAGGCAGCTTTTGCAGGCATTTTGTGTGACAATGTCATTTCATAAGTAATACTAGAACTTGGGAAAAACTACACATGCACACATCCCCTAAAGAAGACTCACACCAAACCGTCTACTCCAAAATTACCCAGCCACTAAAAAAGAATATTTTCTTGTGAATGCAGTGAGGAGGCCAAATACACAAACTATGGGGTTTTGTAAACCTCTG